TTGTTGTTGTTGTTGTTGTTGTTGTTTCCATACTTTTTGGCTTGTTTCTGATATCAATACTGGTTGCGGTTTATCGGTACCCTTTTTTCTTTTCATTTTTCGCACTAAAACTTATTATGGGTTTTTGCAGGCAGTAAAATTCAGTTTGTGCATTACCACTGTTGCTGCCATAATTATTATTCATTAGAGGGAAAGCAGTAATGGCAATGCAGTTGGCATTTCATGACCCTTTACCTAGCACAAGCCGACAAACTCAGAATGAGAACCCACAAGTTCCGCGTTCGTAATCAGCTTCATTTTCTTTTAAATTGTTTTCAAAAAGAACACGCCCATTTATGTCGGGCATATTGGTAAAATACTTCTTTTTTCAAAGTGTATAAGAGGGAGAAGAATTGTTGAAAAAAGTGTAATTTTTTGATTTTTTGTGTTCTTTCTGGTTGTGGTGTAATTTTCAGGTTGTTTTGCTGTAAAATTCACTAGTACTATCACAGAGTTTTTACTGTGGTCTGTACTTTATTGCAATATAAACAGTCTTCTACATTTAAGCTGGAAAAAGTGATTCTACAACTGTGAAGCTATCATACGCAGAAATTGCTACAGGAAAACATACACTGTTACGTCGTAATGGTCTGAGAAACAGTGATAACACTCACTCAGAAACATGGCGGACAAACTCGGAGGTTTCTCCTGAGAATAAGGATAACAGTTATGGCGCCTCCAGTGCCGAAAATGAGGTACAGTTTAGCAGTTACATGATTAGTTTTTTGATGGAATAATATTGTTTTCCAGATGTCAAGCAAATTCGACTATAAAATAAAGACTGTTGATTCTGCCCGTTCTGGCTCGAATTGTATATTAGAATCTTCGCTGCTTAATGTCTCTTCTAACGTTTTAGCAAATTCTTTTTTGCCACATGTTTCGGTAAAACTTGTTTTACTGTTCTGTTTTACCACCAATTATTACATTTAAAAAATATCGGGTCTTACAGGCAAGTAGCCAGCATAAAATTTAAAAAATTGGTGAAGCTTTTCTGTTTGGGTGACATTTGATTGCTGGTCCTAGTTTTACTGTTTCTGGTGTCTTCTTATTTTTTTTGTAAAGTAATAATGTTTAAGAAATTCTTGAATTTTGATAGTCATTGCTTTATATTTACGAGGATGACTGTCAAACTGGTTTGCGTTTCTTTTGTCAAAGGGTACTGTTTCTGTCTAGTTGTTAAGTAGTAGGGAAAAATGCACTTACGTGGCTGTTTAGAAATGAAGTTGATAATTTAGCCAGAAACCCCAAGTATGGAGTCAGACTCTAAGGCAAGTCAGCATAGTCGAGATGTATGGCAAGCAGCTGTTGAAAACATGGAGCGAGATAATATTATTCGAGAAAAAATTGGGCTTATTATCAACAAAAGGTCACTTTTATTTTGGGTTTTGATTTTGGTTATGTGGTTTGAAACATTTATTTTTTAATAGTTCAAATAACTTTAATATGGAAATTTATCAGGGGAAAATCTTGTTAGTTCATTGCTTCAGGTATCGAATTGTACAAAAAATTAGTTTTGGTTCTTATGGGTCTATATACAGCGCTGTAGATGTTCACACGAATAAAGATGTTGCAGTTAAATTTGAGATTGGTAACATTATTTCTAGTTCTAAAAATTCTTATGCCAAGATTGTATCAAACTTGTGCCATATTGCATTTGTTTTCAGGTTCTAAACCAGCTTCTGAGATACATTTAAAGTATGAAAACGATGTTTATCATTGTATGAAGGTATACCACTTGGCTTATCGATTTTCAGTGGAAGAAATATAAGTTTTAGAGCTCGTGTTTACATCAACTTTGGCATTGTTAATATTGATATTTTTTTAGGGTGAAATTGGAGTCCCAACAATTTACTGGTTTGGATTTGAATATAATCATCAGATTCTGGTTATGGAGCTACTCGGGCCAACCTTGGAACAGCTTTTCAGTTACTGTGAGAGGCATTTCAATTGGGATGTAAGGTTTACTGAAATCCTTCGGTTTGGGAGGGTGGAATGCGTTTCTTAATTTGTATTTATTTTTACTATATTGAGATTTCGTCACTTCTCAGAAATCCAATGATTCTTTCTAGACCATCGTTTCTCTGGCCGACCAAATGCTTTTAAGGATTTGGTCACTGCATTCTCGAGGTTTTATACACAGGGATATCAAGCCGGAAAATTTTCTAATGGGTATTGGGGATTCTGAAAACACTTGTTTTCTTGTTGACTTTGGTTTGGCTCGACGATTTAGGTAAAATATTTCTATTTTCTTATAGGTTTAGTATCAAGTTCTGGGCTGTGATGTTTAGTCACTAAAATGAAGTTGTCCTGATTTATTGTTCTATTAGATATCGTGACGGCGAGAAGCTAAATCATATTCCATTCCGGAGAGGTAAAAGTCTAGTCGGTACAGTAAAGTACGCCAGCGTCAACAGTCATAATGGTTTGGAATTAAGTAGGCGTGATGATTTGGAAAGTCTGGGATATATCATAATAGAATTTATCAACCGAGAGCTTCCGTGGAAGGTAATTTTGATCGAAGGCTATCTTTTTTTTATATGGACAGTAATATAGCTTCTTTATCTCAGCTGTGTGTTGTTATTCAGTTTTCCTTATCTCCTGATATAAATATATATTTTAGGAATTACGAGGTAAAGCTCGGTTTAGGTCGAAACAGCAAAGTTATAATCGTATTAGAAATATGAAGGAACAAGCTGATTGGAATGTCGTTTGTCCCAGAATGGAGGAATGGATCGCATATTGCCATCAACTTGGTTTCAGCGAAGAAGTATATTGTTTTATAAGTACTGCAAAATTTACACTTGTTCCTGAGATAAAAGAAGTGGAAGGAGAAGATCGAACGGGGAAGCAACTTTGAAATAATCTATCTATTTCGTATTAATACTTCTTGTATTTTTCAGCCAGATTATGTTTATCTTCGTGGTCTGATTCAGTCTTTGAAATTAGAAGAGAGGAAAAGAGGTAAACGATGTAACACGGCATCAGTCAGTCAAGTAAGCACCATAGATTTTTAAAGTAAAAAGGCGCTCTAAATGAAATGTTTTTGGACTCTGGGTTTAGTTTATCTGTTTACCCTCCAGGTCCAGTTAAAAGCATGGAACGGGGCAACAAATCAAACTCGTCAGTCATCTAATGATATCTTGCATGTATCGTCAAAGTGGTTTCCGAATTGTTCAGTAAGCATTTTTGGATTAGTTTACATTACTTCTTTTACTTATATTGCATTTAATGCGATTTATTTTTCATACTGTGTTGAATAATCTTGTTTAACTTTCGCTTTTAGAAAAATGGTTTTGATGCGCATGCAAAAGACGGTTTTAAAGGAGTTGCTGCAAACTGGACCATTAGTGGTAATGGGACGAACAAAATTAACCGTAATATTTTGACTTGGCTGTTTATTTCATTTTTCATCTTTTTGAATTTTCGAGATACGATCACAGTTTCTTAATATGGTGTATGCTGCTGCTGTTCATGTTTGGTTGTGACAACAGTCTGTAATGAAAAGGAGTTTTTGTAGTTCGTCATTTTGATGATGGTACGAAACGATATAGTTGGCTGATGAGGCGGGACAGCAGCCCAGGTCAACGTTATACTTTTGACTGCTTATTTAGGTATCATTTCTTGCTCTTTTGACCTCCGACTGCTCTTTCTTCTGTTTTTTTTTTCTCGTTTTCAATTCATTTTTTTCTTTACATAGATATGTCATTATAGAATATGTTTAGGTGGACTCTTCCGTCTAGTGTGAAGACTGTGCTGCCTCCTTATTTAAGCAATAATGGGGTATCATTTGAGTATGGTGGCGGATATGATTGTTCTAATGAGAGTTTTAATCGTCCGAAGCTCGTTTAGATGTATCTTACCGACTTCGACGTCAGTTTTGATATTTCTTAGAATTATACTGTTGTAACTTGTAAAGTTATGCAGTTTGATTCAAACGGTGGTAGTTTGACGGACAGTTTATTGTTGTTAGTTTGGATGGGTGGTTTTTGATACCACATTAAAATCTTTTTATTTTTACGCTTTTCTGTAAAGATGTACTGGCAGGTAACGGCTCATCGTTTAAAATAGTAACAGTCAATTTAAGTAACTAACTTATATTGTCCGTCAAAACAAGTGGGGTTGAAAGAAAATTATTTTCTGTAATAATGAGGAAAAAATGTTTATTTATGATACTTTTGTTTATAAGTTTTGATATGTATGTGACGTTTTCTCCGAGATTTTTTTTTAGTTTTTTGATAATCGTTTGTAGTTTTTTTTTTCTTTCGGTTTTACTAGATGTAGCATGTTTGTCAAGAAGCGAGTATTAAAAAAAGCTGTTGTCTAAGGGTTAAACCTTTGAATTTTATTTTTTTACAAATTAGTTAATACTTCTAAGTCATTCGTAGTAAGACAGAAGTTTAATACCAGGAAGGAACTTCATTGTGGATGGGACATAGTGGTCTTATTTACAGAAATGTCTTTAAAAGCTTTGTACAGAAAATCAGTTTATTGGAACTTTTATGGTTTTCAACTGAGAAGGTGAGAAGAAATTTGTGTACAGTATGATTATCTGTTAGTTAGTTTTTATACCTGGCGTTTTAGATGGTTATCTGTTTCATAGTCTGTACATTTATGAAGTCGTTGATTTTGACACTTGGAAATGAAATGTTTTTTTTCCTTTTACAGTTTATTATTCTAAATCGCTTTCTAGGGTTCTATAACTTTTGGGTTTTTGTACATTATTTCTCTTATTGTTAGCCTGATCTTTATTTACAAATTTACTTAGTAATTTTGAATTTTCTTCTTATGAAATGTGTTCGATGAAAGTTTGGTTTTAAACATAGTTTCTTATCTTTGGTCTTAATTATTTTCATCATGATCACATACATTTGGTTGTTGATTAGCTCTGCAACTCTATGATTATTGTTCATTCACTTTTTTGGTTTTTTGTTGGTTGGCAGTTGTGTATAATGTTTTAATAGTATTATATTGTACATATGATTGTACTTTAGAAGTACAGACAATTTGGTTGAGTTGACGAAAATCTGTAGTCAAAAATGGTGTACAGTTGCTAAAAAGATAGTTTATCAATAGGATGCCAAAATTTGTGTAGGCATTTATGTGAAGTTGTTCCAGAGCTGCTGAAGCCGTTTGTTGCGTTTTGCAGAATTGCTGCATAAAACTGTAAATTTACAGATGACATTGTACTTCTTGAACGGTTTAATTTGTGATAGTTGATAAGGGATCGAGCAAAAAAATTTTGTCAACTTTTGTTTGAAAATGTAACTCATTATTCCTTTTCTCTTGCATTCTCATTTCTGTTGATATGTTTCGGTTGTGACGTCTTTTTGGTTATTATTCAAATATATTTTTGTATTATACTGGTAAAACTGGTCAATATTAGCACTGAAGGCAGATACATAAAGTTAAGAAAGATAGTTGCTGAAGGTTGAGTTTTTTTCTGTGTGCTGTAAAAGTTATTTTATTTTTTCATTTATTTGTTTGGAACAGGCACTTAGTGTACAGGTGGATTACTGTTGGAAACTTTAGTGATTTGACAGTTGCCAAATAACGCATTGTCAGGTTACGGCTAGTAACTTACAGGCCGATGTCAGCTGTCCGTCTCCTCAATACGATATGGAAGAAAACAAAATTTAGTAGGCCGTACGTCATTGGTATGGTACACGTGCCAGCACTGCCCGGGTACAGTTCTTTCTCAAATTACGTTAATTCCTTCAGAAGTTTCTAGATTAGCTGGGTAATGTGAATGCTCTCGTTTTAGTTCAAAGGATTTTATGAACTTTCAGTACACCAAACAACTCTCTTTCTCCAGATGAAATAGTGTCCAAAGTAAAAGAAGAGACTAAAATTTATGCAGAAGCGGAAATTGTAAGTTTTGTTATGTGAAAATTGAACATCACTATTTCTCTAGTAAGCCGACTAAGTATATACAATTCTTCGACTGCATTTTGTAGGCTTTGCTTGTTTAAGTTAAAATCAACCTCTTACCCCCTTATTGGTCAGTGTACCACTTTTCAGGATGGTATTATGGTGGAAAACATGCATGACATTCCGTACGTTCAAGAGCCGCAACTCTCACCAGCTGTTACTGCATGTATGACTCGTGCTTGTATGGCTGTTAATGAAGTACTTGGCAGTTCAGCGAAGAATTATGGTCGGGGTATCCAAGTACTAGCAGCAGCTAATCATCATGCAGTTGCTATCGCTCAAGCATGTGGTATCTCAATTCTCATTCTAGAATTTTGCAGTATATGAAGTTTCACAAACTCCTCGTTATATTTAAGACCCTTCTTTTAAGATTTTGACTTTATCCGGGCTGAATGTTATACTTTTGCCCATGTCGCTGATGAAGGCATAATGTCTGCGTGTGCTGGTGAACTACTGCGTTACAGGCGACAGATTGGAGCCAGCAACGTCGCAGTTCTCGTTGATTTAAAGAAAAAGCACTCGTAAGTTTCAGTGTCTTTTGATTTTGATATAAGTACAGTAAATTTAAGTGTTTTCTTTGAAATTTTTGTGTTTAATTACTTTTCTTAGTAGGTTGTGGCAGACGCTTATTTTTTTAAATTGTTATATTACGACTTGATGGGTGTTTTTAAGTTCGCATGCGATCACAAATGATTTGTCAATTGGAGACGTTGCTAAAGCATGTGAATTCTTTTTGGCAGATGGGCTAATTATCACGGGTTCATCTACAGGTCGTCCTGCTAATCCTGAGGAGATTGAAGGTTAGCCCTTTTTTTTGAATCAAGTAGGTTTTTCTGTAACAGTTAAAAGTGATCCCAAAATTTACATCAACGATTTGTCATTTTTTGTTGTTGTTGTAGAGGTCAAAAAGCAGTCCAAACTTCCTGTATTTATTGGTTCTGGAATGACAGTTAGAAATCTTAGCAATTTTCTTCAAGCAGATGGTTTTATCGTCGGTTCTTACTTTAAAAAAGATGGTGATTGGCGGAATAGTCTAGACAGTACAAAAGTAAAGGCTTTTATGGAACAAATACACTGTGTGAAACGTCGCTAGTTTTTTATTGCTATTTATTTAGATAGATTAGGTTACCACGTGATAAATAGAAGTTTTTTGGTACTCAAACATTCCTCAAACTTGTTGGAAACTGTTACGATAAGTTTTAAGTATAGCGTTTTACGACTAAGTACTAACTAGTATTTTACAAATTTGTAGAGTGAAGTATTTCACTTTACTTAATTCGTGTCAATATCAGCATTCCATAACATTTCACTTTAACCTATTCTTTAACCACTGACATTGGAATTTTGCTGCCAATTTTTTGATGAACTTTTTATTGTTGTTTCTTTCATTTCTTTGAAAAGTTTTTATTCTCAAAATGTTCATCAATTAAACACTTTTCATTTTTGTCGGTGTCTTTAAGGTACTTATGGTTTTTCTTTTCTTGTAATAAAAGTATATCTTTTGTACTTTTGACAGCATATGTCTGTTGAAGTCAATGGTTATAAGTATTTGACGTGCTCTGAGCACATAAGAAATGTTATCTTTCTGTTAAATATCGTATTGTGTGTTAATTGCTTTAAAATTCAGAATCCGATTCCGTTTTTTGCTTTTGGTTCCTGAAGCTCTGTATAATTAAAAAAAAAAAACAGTTTAGTTAAAAGCAAAAAAAGAAAATCGGGAATCCAGTTTTTTTTTTGCCAACGTGAACATTTATTAAACAGCGAGTGATAAAGCTAGTAAAATTTTCAAAGATTATTAAAATCTTTATTCTTCTTTGTTTGATGATATAATACAACACATTAACTATGTGAAATATAAAATATTTTATATTAAATGAACAAAAAAAGTTAAAACTGTTCTTTAAATTGGAATTTTCTAAAATGACAATTTTTTGTAAATCTATGAAGAAGAAAAGCCTAAGCGAAAGTTAGAACACACTTTAATCATTCACACTTGTTTAAGTACTAAAACACATCAAAAGTGATAAAGTGAATTTGGAAAAAGGTGAAAACAGTGCATAGGTTTTGATGCATCGAGTTGAAAAACAAAAAAATTGGAGAAGAAGAAGAAAAAAAAACAACAGTGATTTGATATTGAGGTTGAATTTTTTTCTACAAAAAAAAAAAGCTTCCACTATCTCCTTCACAGTTCGTTCCTTATTCTTAGACAATATATCATTTCCAGTTTTCCTTCTTCACCTATCGCCCTGTTTTCATTTTTTCTTTCTGATAAATTTGAAAACAAAAATTTAGTGTTGTTTTTGCTTTTTTTCTTTTCTTGATTTTTTGGCAAAAAAAGTACTGCTAAACTGAGTAGTAACTGTTACTGGCATTCGATTACAGACAGACATTTTGGAAACAAGGATAATTTGAAATACTTCTTACTCACTGGCATTAAATGCACAAATGACAAAATTGGTAAACGGCAAAAATTGTGGCATTAATTAATTAATTAATTAAACGACAAATAGACAAACAAACAATTGGAAAAAAAGAATGATAAAATAAAGAAAAAAAAAAAAAAACAGGTGCTGCATATGGTGGCCGAAAAAAAAAAAAAGACAGTAAGTTTAGAATCGTT